CTGATAACCTTACAGGGTTGCCTTTGTATGTAACCTGTTTTTCTCTTGCCTCCTTCGAGATTCTTTTTATTGTTAACTTTTTTACAATTTTAACTACAATATGTCTTGGTGTGGGTTTCTTTGGGTTCATATGTTTGGAACTCTCTTTGCTTCCTGGGCGTGAATATCTGTTTCCTTTCCCAGGTTAGGAAATGTTTCAACCATTATTTCTTTAAATAAAGTTTCTGTTCCTTTCTCTCCTCTCCTTCTAGGATACCCATAATGGAAATGTGTGAGTGTTTGATGTTACCCCAGAGGTCCATTCCACTGTCCTCATTTTTAAAGTTCTCTTTTCTTTCTGCTGTTCTGATTGGTTGATTTGCAGTAGTCTGTCTTCCAGGTTGCTGATCCATTCTGTATTAGCTAATCTACTGTTGTTTCCTTCTGATGTGTTGTTTTTTTAATCTCAGTTATTGTATTCTTCAGGTCTGCTTAGTTCCTTCTTATACTTCTAACTCTTTGTTAAAGTTCTCCCTAAGTTCCTCTAGTCCCCTCTCAAGTTTGGTTAATGACCATTTCTTTGACTTCTTTATCAGGCAAATTATTTATTTCGATTTCCTTTGGGTTTTTATTTTCCCCTGGGGATTTTTCTTATTCTGTCATTTGGAAGAGATTCTTCTGTCTTCGCATATTGTTTTACTTTCTGTGTTTGATAAATGAATTAGACAAAATGACTGTCTCTTTCATTCTTGGACAAGTGGCCTTATGCAGTAGCGGGCTCTGTGTAGACTGTGTGTGCTGTGTGGAATTTGCAGGCTGTCGGCGCCCGAGCAGATGCCCGAGGCACCTGGGGCACTGACCTATGGAGCTGGAGCAGCTCTGGGTGGGGAGCCCAGGTGTCTGTAGTAATGTCTTGTTGATTTTGCTTGCCCCCTTTGTTCGGGCTGAAATGTGCTCTGGTGATGTGCCTGAGAACGTGCTGCATTGACCTTGCCGGCAGGCCAGTGCCTGCAGATCAAGCCCCCACCCACCCTATGGAGGTGGAGGGTGATGTGAACAATGCTGCTCACCATCCCCTCGGACCCCAGAGAATTCCCACAGTCCCCGGGGAGCTCCCACGGCTCTTCAGTCTTCTCTGTACAGCCTCTTGTTTGTTGTGCCGAAAGTGGTCCCGTGTAGGAGGCCTCTGTGTAGGTTCCCTGCGCCCGAGAGTTTTGGGAAGCTGCTTGGAGCGGAGCATGAGCTCATGGTCCCCGGGGCACTGGCCTTCAGTGGGAGCAGCTCTAGGCAGGGAGGGCAGCTGGGTGTGGTAATGCCCTGCTGTTTCTGCTTGCTCCCTTTGTTGGGAGAAAAAAGGCTCCAAGCATAATACCCTCTAGATCCATCCATGTTGTCGCAAATGCAAGAGTTCGTTCCTCTTTATTGGCTGTCTAATATTCCATTGTGTGTGTGTGTGTGTGTGTGTGTGTGTGTGTGTGTGTGTGTGTGTATATGTGCATGTGTGTGTGTATCTCCCATCTTCTTTATCCATTCACCTATTGATGGACTCTTAGGTTGCTTCCAAGTGAATTAAGGCAGGCAGAGAAAGACAAATACTGCATGGTGGAATCTGAAAACAAAACAAAAACAGATTCATAGAAACAGAGACCAAAGGGATGATTACCAGCAGGGAGGGGATAGGGCGATGGGTGAAAAGGGGAAGGGAAATATAGTCAATAATATTGTGATACGTTTGCATGGTGACAGATGATTACTAGAATTAGTGGGGTGATCACGTTGTAATGCATAAAAATGTCGAATCACTATATTGTACACTTGAAACTAATCTAACCAATATAAGATTGTATACCAACTATACTTAAAACATAAATTTAAATAAACTTGTTGAATGAAGTGACAAGCAGTGTGTATCTGATAAGTGTTTATATTGGTTATATTAACTACAATATATCTTGGTGTGGGTCTCTGGGTTCATCTTGTTTGGAACTCTCTTTGCTTTCTTCTCTTTTACTTGTGTGTTGTCAGAAGCGGTACATTCGGGACTTGGTTGTCTCACCCGAGTCATTGCTACCTATATACATGTATATTTGATTTTGCTCACGGGAGGAGGTGAGTTCAGCGCCTTCCTACACCACAGGCATCTTGGACCTTCCCAGGCATTAGCATTGAAAAACTCTCCCTGTGACTCCGATGTGGGGGATTCTGGGATGGAAGCTTGCTATTCCTCTCCCCATGGCCCGGGTGAGCTGATCAAGGTCACCTGGGAAGGTATAGCCTACTATGGCTTCCAAATTTTAGGTCTTCTAACACGCTACCTCCTGCCCCCGGCCCCCCAGGAGAGGGTGTTGTTAAAAATGTAGATTCCAAATTTCACCTTCAGTAGGTCTAGGGCCGGGTGGGGGGACAATGAGGATAACAGAAATCGGCATTTTGATGAGTTCTTCTGCAGGGTTTAATCCAGGTGGTCCTGGAATCCCATTTAGGGAAATATTGACCTTGACAGAGGGCATCTATGAGGGGAGGAGACCCAGAACAGAGAAGGAAGGTGGTGGCCAGGGGTCCTGGGTGCTGGAGCTTGGGGCTAAGAGCTCAATAGTTGGACTCAACTCCAGGCAGAAAGGTGGTGGGACACAGGTGACAAGACAGGAGCTTGTGAAAAGTCCTGTGGTTGTTGCAGACCAGCTAGCTCCCTCCTCCTCTCTGAACGCCCCCTCAGGCTGGAGGCCCCAGGCAGGGCTGGCAGAGGCTCCCCTGCCCTCCTCTCAGTCCCCACGGGTCTGGGGACAGAGCCCCTCTCTGGTCAGGGTTTTGCAGCCAGGCCTGGAGCTGGCTGGTGCTCTTCCCTGGCCCCTGGCCCATCACGGTGACCCCTGGCTGGGTAACTTGTCATGGTTGTCCCACCGTCTACTTGTGCCTGTCATTCAGTGCCTTAGAAATTCCCAGCTGCCAGCCAGAGGGCCGTCGGGTCCAAACCACAGGGACCACCGGGACGATTGCAGCTGTAGGCTGGCAAGAGATGCCTTCCAGCTCTCGCATCTCTGTTGCCCCACAGCCACTGTCACCCCAGGCAGGACTCAGTGTCCCATCCTTCTTACTGGATTGGGTTGAAACCTGCCTTTCTGTAATCACCCGCTCTGGTCCTAAGACTGTTCTTTCAGCCACGCAGATTGGTCTAGTGCTCACTCCACAGCACAATTGTTCATGTTTGTGAAGGCAGCACCCTTGGACCCTTGAAATAACCCCTTCTCCGGGCCAATGTGCGCAGAATGGTGTTTGTTCTGGAACATTCACTTCACCAATGTATCATTGCAAGTGTGGTTTCTTTTCAGCCCATCCTGTTTTCCTTGTGGAACTAGTGGGAGCCTCGTTTTCATGGCTGCTTTATAGAGCTGCCTGTAATTCGTTCATTCATTCATTAACTGAACAAATGCATATGGAGACCCACTGTGTGCCGGGTGTGTTATAGGTGCTGGGAGCCTCACTGGGAACCTGGGGCACGATCCCTGCCCCCACAGAGCTCATGGCTGGGAGAGGCAGGAGGAAGGTGACAAGTCAAGAAGCCCTTACAAGGCAGTCCTCCCAGGAAATAGGGAGGACTCAGATGTTCACTTGTGGCCTCTGATATGCTACTGAGGGGCGGGGGGGGGGGGGGGAGGCACCCACAGACCATGGAGGACACAGAGGGTCCTGGCATACAGGACCTGAAGGAGGGCTTTTGGGGCAATTTGAGATGATAACAAAACATCAGCCTCTCCCCCATGAAGAATAGGAAAGAGAAGTTCAGATGAGAAATGACAGGCATTTATTAAATCTCTACTGTGTTCCAGAGGCTTCCGCTCGCTGAGCACTTTCTCCAAGTGCCCAACATGCTTGAATGCATCATTAGTATCCCCATTTGTGGGTGGGGCGACAGGCCTTGTCCAGGCCACAAGGCCAAGCGGTGCTTGTCAGGCCCAGCTCTGGCCAGTGACCTCACACTGCCAGGACAGAGGAATGACCGTTCCAAGTGGATTGAATTTTCTACCTTTTCAGGGTTTGCATAGAAATCTTGCAACTTGGGTTGTAAGAAATTTTCATAAAATCTTAATTAAGTGCCTTAATAAAATCTTAATAAAGTAAAATAAGCAAGGAAGAAGAGGCTAGTGGCCCTAAGAGAATGTTTCCTTTCTGATTGAGGGTAGGGAGGGGCCTGTGGACCCTGGTTCTCTTTCTCCGACTGAAAATCCCCCTCGTGGGGCTGCGGGTGGAGAAGGTCAGGGCCGGATGGGGTTGGCATCTGCAGGGGGCTCTGAGGGTTTTTACTATTTCATGTGAGCGTGCAGAGGGCAATACGGGCACATGGTGAGTTCTTGTTATAACAGATGCTGGTCAACCTTGCCCTGCCTGCCTGGGCATTGTGGGGTCACCCAGGACACTGGGGAATCCCTGAGTGACCCCGGTGTCCCTAGCTCTGGTCTGGCTATGCTGTATGTAACTCACAACTCAGTAAATGTTTTGTGGGTGGTCCGAACGCTCCTCAGAGCAGCATCTCTGAAAGGCAGTAGGTCTCCCCTGGCTAAATGGCCACTTTAAGAAGGCAGCAATCTTGAGATGGAAGCAGAGAAAGAGAGCAAGAAAAATCCAGCAGGAACCTTGCCTACTCCGTAACATGATCAGAGGTCATGAATAATGGAGCGAAACACAGGCCTCTGAGTCCTGGCAGCTTGGCTGATTCGGAGCCCTGCGCTCCTCAGAAAGGTCCCAGGCCCAGGGGACATCATTCACGGCCTTCAAAGCCTGTGAGGCTAGGGTGATCTCCATGGGGGGAGGCCGCCACCTACCCCTGCGATGGCCCCTTGCTGGGAGGCCAGGTGGAAAACTGATGCCCAGGGCTGGATGTCACCTGATTCTGCATGAAGGGAGGACAGAGGGCTGTTGGGAGGGGCGTGGAGGAAGGACAGCCTGCCCTCGGCCCCCATGAATAAGTGATGAGGCCCAGGGAGAAACCCCAGGGCAGGTGCAAGAGGAGGTGACCAGTGAGGGGGTGGCAGAGAGAGGGACCGGGGACAGGAAAGACAGAGATAAGGCACTGAGGTTCAGCTCCGAGGCTGAAGCAGCAAGGGGAGCAGGAGCAGTGCTGTGGGCACAGGAGACCCAAATGTGGGTCCTGGCCCACCCGGACAGCACAGGAGCTCAGGGAGAGAGGGCTGTGGGTCCAAGGTGGTGCCGGGAGGCCGGCACAGTGAGCTAGCGAGGGCTGGGAAGAGGCAGCCGGCAAAATAATGCCCCAGGGGAAAAAGAGAAAGCAAGACATTGACTTCATAGCGCTGTATGAGGCGGAGCTGCTGAACTATGCCTCAGATGAGGACGAGGAAGAGCTGGAGCACGACTACTACAAGCCCAGAGGTGTGTGGTCCGGCCTGGGGGGGCGCGGGGGCGGCGGAGCGTGGTGCCTAGCATCTTGTCCTGTGCTTTGAGGGAGGAACTTGAGGTTCCAACCTCTTTCTGATAGATTTCCTATTGCGGCTGTCCTACACCCCCTTGGAGTAAATGGGGCAGGAATTACACTAGTGCCCCCACTGTATATGCTAGGGCCCCCTACAGGCAACCTGCCCTTCGTCACAGTCTTATTGGCACAGAATAGACTAGAACTGCAGTGCTCACACTCTCCACATCCTCACCCCAAGAGCCACATTCCAGCCTGGTCCCCATGGCGTGGCCAGCTTTAGACAGAACCTGACCTGACGGGGCTGTGACTGGGTGTTGTGGGCAGGAGGCCTGACCCCTTGCAGCATGCCCAGTGGGGGCTGGGAGCTGCTGCCCACCATGGCCAATCAAGATGGGGGCTTGGGGCTTTGCAAGGAGAGGCACATGGCCCATGTAGGGAAGGCAGGTGTTGCTCTGGACCCCAGGGCCTTGTCCTCTTAGTCTCATCTTCCTCTGGCGCCCATGGGAGCTGCTTTGAAATGCTCTACCTTCTTGCCAGGTAAACCAGAGAAGGGGTGAACTGGGAACCCGGGAGCCAATTTTGGCCTGCAGAGGGTTTTTTGGTGTTTTGTTTTGATCTGCCTTTTAAATGTTTTAAAATATTTTTGGCTGTGACTGCTTATAGGCTGTGGGCTTCCAGTTTGTCACATACTAGGTATGTTTTATCCATTGATGCTGCCAGTCTTGTCCCTGAAGGCATTTAAATTCTCAGCACTTAATCCAGAGTGGCTCGCTAGTCCCTGTACGCACCATATCCACTCATTAGTTCACCCATTCCCTGATTCATTCATTTATCCACCAAATATTTATTGAAGGCCTGCTCTGTGCCTGCCCAGAGCCTCCTTCACAATCTCAGCATCTGTTGGGATACAATTACCCGAGGCAGCTTCCTTGAGGATGTTGTTAATGGAGATAATGCAGTGATGATGGCAAGGATATTGATGTTGATGATGACAACAATGGAGATGATGGTGGTGATGAAGATGATGACAATAATGGTGATGGTGATTAAGACACTGATGGTGATGAAGAGACTGATGGTGGTGATGCGATGATGATGATGATGATAAATCTACAACTTATATAATGCATATCTTTTGTCTAGCTGTGGAGGAGTGTCTGTAAGATACATTTCCAGAAGTAGAAATGCTAGGTCAGTGGGTATGAACGTTGAAAACTTTGTTTTATTTGCTTTAATCCTTACAATAATCTTTCAAGGAAGAAATTATCTCTATTTCAGAGATGAGAACATTGAAGCTCAGTAAACAATTTGGTTGAAATCACATAGCCAGTAATGGTAGAATTGGAATTCAGGTAACAGTCCATTTAGTTTCATAGTTAATATTCATTTCATTGATTGCTTCATTTATTCATTTATCTGCTCATTCATTCATCCAGGTAATTACTTATTGAGCATCTCCCACTTGCCAGGCTCTGTGCTAGGTTGACAATTCTTTTTGCTGACAAGGGGATTTTATGAATTGGGGTCCTCCCCTTTAGAGCCAAACAGAATTTTATATCTTCTACAGAATTTGTTTTTCACAAGATAGTTCATCAGATATCTGAGTTTTTTTAATTAAAAGTTAAAAATTGAGGAATGCTATATATATGCAGCACAAAACTCATAAAAGTACAGCGTGGTGAATTTTTACATATGTGCATGTTTGTGTAACCACCATTCAAACAAGCCACAGAACACTTCCAACCTCCAGGAAACTCCTTCCCTCACCTTCCCAGAGGTAATAGCTTCCCTGATGCTATTATCCCCATAGATTAGTTTTTTCTGTTCTTGAACTTCAAATAAATGGAATCACACAGTAAACACTTTTTGTGGGTAGCTTTTCTTTCACTCAACATTATATCTGAGAGATTTATCCATGTTGTGACACATTATATATAATAGTTTGGGGTTTCTTTGTTATTGTGCGCTATTATATTTTATAAATAAATCACCATTTATTTAACTGTTCTGTTGTTGATGCACTCTTGGTTTATTTCCAGTTTTTAGCTATGATGAATAAAGCTGATACAGATCTTGTACACATCTGTTAATGGACACATACACTCATTTCTCTTGGATTTATAATTGGAAGTAGAATTACTGTGTCATAGGATGGGCATTATGTTTAACTATCAGGGCTTGTAACAATTTACTCTCTCCCCAGCAATGTAGGAGACTGCCAATGGTTCCACATTCTTGCCAATACTTAGTATAGTCAGTCTTTTTAACTTTAGCCATTCTGGGGTGGGGGGGTATATATTGTAATAGTATGTTATTGTCATTTTAATTTGCATTTCCCTGATGAATAATGATGCTGAGTACTTTGGCATATGTTTATTGGTTATTTGGATACCCTCATTTATGACATGCCTGTTTAATTCTCTTGTCCAATTTTCAACTTTGCTGAAATATAATTTACTTTACAATGAAATGCATCCATTTTAAATGTGCTGTTTGATAAGGATTAGCACACATGTATTCATCCATACAACTATTAGCACAATCTACATATAGTACATTTAAATTATCCCCCCAAATTTCCCTGTGCCCCTTCTCAGTCAATTCCTTCACTCCCAACCCCAGGAAACCATGTTCCGCTTTCTGTTACAATAGATTACATTTGTCTTTTCTAGACTTTCATATAGCATTTAGTGTGTAGTGTTTTATGTCTGACTTCTTTTGCTCAATGTAATGAGCTTGAGATTTATCCATATTGCATGTGTCAGTAGTTCATCCCTTTTTTTGCCAAGTAGTTTCCATTGTACGGATGTACTACAATTTGCTTATCCATTCACCTGTTGATGGACATTTAGGTTGTTTCCAGTTTAGGGCTATTATGAATAAAGCTGCTATGAACATTTGTGTGTGGGTCTTTGTGTAGACATGTTTTTATTTCTCTTGGGTAAATACCTCAAAGAGGAATTTCTGGGTCTTATGGTAAGTGTGTGTTCATTTTTAAAACAAACTGTTGCCCATTAAAAAAATTGTGTGGCCCTTTTTAAAATACAGGTTTGTACCTGTAATTAACTATTGAGATAGTTTCTTCATCCTTCTCCTGTACCCCAGACTCTTCTTTTCTCCAAACCAAGCATCTCCAGGCCTTTATGTCTTCTCTCATACAGTGTGGTTCTAGACTTTTCGCCATGCTGATCATTTTCCTATGGACACTTGGTTTGGAAATGCCCTGGTATATATGCAAACCATGTGGGCAAAACTTCAGGGCCCAGAGTTGTCCCAGGGAGGGCTCCAGGAGTTGTTTTCACATCAGACTCCCCTGTGGTGTAGACTAGGAAAGAATTAAGGCTTTGGTTATTGCAAGAGTCAGAGAGTCTTGCAAATATACTGCTTCCTTTCTCCTGCTCACAGTGTCTTAATGGGGACCTTCATTAGAACCAGGGACAAAATAAGGAAAGGTGCCAACAGCAAACAAGACAACCTACAAGGGTTCAAAAAGAGGTTTAAACCAGTGCCCCTGCCAAAGAGGGACTCCTGACAAAGCTCTGCACGCTCCCCCAGCCCTGGAATGAATGGCTTATCTTGAGATAGCAATGCAATGCCCAGGGGATCATGGGTGGTGAGGCTGGACAAGGCAGCTTCATTGTCAGAGGGCAGAGAGAAGGTGACAGTCAGATGCAGGCTGTGAAGAAGGTCATGACTAGGAGGGCATTCATGTGCTCTGCTAGAAAGACCACAGACTGGGCATCTGAAAATCATAGGCTGGGCTCAGGTGTTGACACTATATAATGTGTGATCTGGGCTTGTCCCTCTGTCTAAAGGTTCCTTATCTGCAAAATGAGTGTGCAGCATTAAGTGGGCAGTTTGGGTCTCACAGCACGACTTGGTGTGAGCCTGACCCTGACTCAGAAGCTTGCAGGTTGTAGCAGGGGTTCACAGAGTCCTTCGTGACTGGGCATCCCCTGCAGGGCTGGCAGGAGCTATGGCTTCTCCAAGCCCAAGCAGGATTCTGGGTTTTCTTCAGACACTGCCATCTGTCTTCTCCTTTCCTCCTGTAGTGTACGAGGTGGTCACAGCCACAGGGGATGTTCGTGGCGCAGGGACAGATGCCAACGTCTTCATCACCCTTTTTGGAGAGAATGGGAGCTCTCCTAAGCTCCAGCTCATCAGCAAGTGAGTACTGACTGAAACTTGGTGGGGTCCTGGCTTGGGAGTCAGGGTGGATGTGACTCTGAAACCCAGGGGAGAAGACATCTGTGTCCACAGGCAAATAAGTGGCACCAGACTCTGCTAATGACAGACCCACGTGTCAGCCAGGTCTCTCCCTGCGATTTTCTGTCAGCCTCCCTTAGCGCCTCTCTTGATTTTTTAATGTACAGTAATGTCTACTTTGGATCTCAAAATTTGCAAGAATTCATATTCAGTAGGTAACCCTTGATGTGGGCGAACAAAACTCAGGACCAAGAAGCCTGGGTCTGGGTCCAGCTTTACCACTTAGTTGTCATGTAACTTTGGTCAACTCTCTTGCATCCAAGGCCTTGGTTTCCTCATATATCACCTGGAAGTGATAACCCTCCTTTTACCAAACTCATAGGACTTTTGAGAAGAGCAAACTAGATGATGCCTGTGAGGGAACCATGAGCTGAAATGCTCTGCATCAACATCTCACCCAGGAACCAGCATCATATTAAACCTGCCTGCCAGCTAACGCACCCTCAAGTCAGCCATTTATATTACTTGTGTGTGTGCTATGTGTGTGCTTGAGTAGATGAGCGTGTGTGGGGGTGGGGGGTGGGGGGGGTGTATGCCTTGTATCTTCCATTTCCTTATAACCCATTGAGAGCAGGGGCTGCTCTCTTTTCTCTTCAGTTCTTTCCTCCCACTGCACGTGTGCACACACAGATACACACAGCTGAGCAGAAACACTGAATTCCAGAGATGTGTAGGGGCCTTGCGGATGGTCTAGGCAGCTGGTTTTCAATCTGTGCTGAATGGCACAGGTGACGCATCAGCTGGTTCTGGGCCCACCATGCCCCATCCTTCCTTCCTCCTGAGCAGCTTGACTTAGGGTTGTTTTGCCCCCCAAATTTCTGGGTCAGGTTCTATTTGCACCAAGAGCTCTGTAGCCAAGAGAAATTTGAAAACTGCTAAATCTAATTCAACTGTTCATGGGGAAACTGAGGCCCCGAGAGAAGCAGTGAGCAGCTCTGAGTCATGGAGCTTTTTGGTGGTAAAGCTGGTCCACAAACCCCAGGCTGTTGATGTAGGCGTTGTCCTCGAGCACGTGGCCTTGTGGCCCTGGCTGGTGTGTGGGAGGACCCCTGAAGGCTTTCTGGAGCTCTGGGCTGTGAGCTTTGGGGATTATGGCCTGGCTCCTCCAGCGATGGCAGGGGAAGCCGTGTGTGTGTGTTGGGGGGGGGGGTTCCACAGACCAGCACATCCCTGAACTCTGTGCTCAGCAGACTGACCAGGCCCCACGTCACTTGCTTACTCTGAAATTGGGCTGTGGTGTAAAGGCCACAGGGCTGAGGCAGGCGTAACATCCTATTTTGTCCATTTCCGCAGATCATGGTATACCCGTCTTCTTGTTCTGCTTACACTGCAGAGTGACTCATTTGTGGAAGTCTTTCCCTCCAGTGACATGGGCACGGTAAAGAGAATACATGAAATGTCCATCCTCTTTGCCATGTGACTTCCCAGAGTGCACCTGTCCAGAGAAAAGCCAGTAGACCTTGGGGAGCTGGCCATATTGTTTTCTGGAGCTCCCAGCCTGCATTTTTTAAACAAAAGGAACAGTTTTCTCCTTTCGTGGTGGTTCCTCACTGTCTTTCCTTCCTTTGTGCCTCTAGTATCCTTAGACTCTTTTCCCTCACTTTTTTTTATTTGTCAAAACACCTCTCAGGAAGGCCCCCAGAGTCATGTTTTGTAACCCCATGTGAAGCTTTGTCATTGAGTCCCTGTTCCCGGGAATCGGAGTTCCAGCCTTCCTTCTTAACGGGGAAGGAAAGGCTGCATCATGGGAAAGGAACCTAAAGCATGAATGAGCTGGCAGCGTCTGGAGGCCTCCAGGCACTGCTGAAACCACACGTAGGCAGCCAGGTTCTCTGCGCTACCCCACGTATAGGACTCAACAGTCTCCCCAATTATCCCACAAGTCTGCTGGTGGGGGGGGGTCTCTCCCATATCTCTGTCATGTATGTAGAGCAGCAGTGCCACAGATCTGGCCAGGACCCCGATATGGCTGATCTGGAGGGTTCTGCAGGAACTCTGGTAAATGATAGTTTCAGAGATGTGGGCACATTTTGCAGAATCAGCTGTATGCCCTGGAGAAGCTGGAGAGGTGGTGCCTAGAGAGATGCCAGGTGGAGCCAGAGAATGAGAGGAGGTCTACTTTGTGCCACCAGTGTCTATCCCTGTTGCTTCCAAATAGAGCTCAGTGCATGACATGGGATCAGTGTGGCTGGAGCTAGGGGTGGACACATAATATGTACCTCACATAGTGAAAAAGACTCAGATAAGAGAGGAACAGGAAGAGGGTACTTTAGAAGGGGAACAGCTTGCAAAAGTATGGAGGCTGTGTGGACACCGCAGGCTTACTGGGGCTGGGTGGTGACCTGCTGGCTACATGGAGGGGCAGAGAAGAGGAAGGTTGAAAAGACAGGGGAGGACCAGGCTGTAGAAAGCCTTGATTGAAAGCTGATCAGTGGAGGCTCGACTTACTATGTGGCCAAGAAAGATTAATCTGACCATGGTGAGCAGATAAATGGGGAAGAGGAGACTAGAGTCTGGCTGCTGGAAGACCTGAGAAAATGTCCACAAAGAGAATTGCATAGAAACAAGCCTCACCAGGACCCTTTCGATTTGAGATGGAGACCTTGGGTCTGGGAAAGGAGCATTGCTTTCCAAGGAATTCCAGGTTGCACATGTCACCCAGATGCCCGTGGCCGTGGCAGTCACCATGCTCTTTGAGACTTAGATGCATTTCGCCCAGCCCAGCCCTCACCCCTACCGGTCCCTGGGGCTGCTCAGATGCCCATTGATCTCTAAATCTCTCATATTTAGAGGTGGGGGCTGTTGCCTCCTTGTCACACCATGTCATCCCAAACCATGCCATGTGCCAACTGGAACTGAGCTTCCTTTTCCTTGAGTCTCTCTCTCTCTCTCTCTCTCACACACACACACACACACACACACACACACTACAAGGCATTTTTGAGTGTATCAGTCTGCACTGATAGCTCGGGACATCAGAAAGATTTCACACTGCAGCAATGCAAGCAACTTAAATTAAGCCACCACGTTTCTTGGAATATCCCCGACCCCTTTCTCTACAGCCTTCAGCTGTCTCTCGCCCTGCCTTTCTCTCCTGCTTTTCCTACGTCTTTTTCTCACTTGCGTCTTTTCTCCTAGGCCCTGGCATTTCACCTTCCACTCCCAAATGGCTTATGAGGAGTTTTGATTTTTTCCAATACAAGAACTTGGGGGCCTGCTGTTAACATGCAGCTTGTCCTCACCCTTATGGTCAAGAGTCTAAATTCCTTGGTACACATTGGACTCCTTCCTAGGCTGAAAAGGGTGTGACATATTCACTTTGATTTCCCATTAGTCGACCTCTACCCCGACCCCCCGCACCAGTTTAGTGCCAACAGCCGTGGCTCCCAGAGGCAGCCCCATCTCTGAGTTCCCTTTCCAGTCACCTAGGACCAGCCCCAACACTGGGTCACATGTTTAGAATATGGCAAAAGGATGGGATTTCATGTATATTCTGGATCACGGTTCTCCTGTTGAGAATTCACCATCTGAGAGTGTCAGAGAACGCCCAGCATTTTAGCCTGCTGGCCCTGCCCGGTTTGTGGCTAAAATGCCCTGTGCAAACTGTAAAGACTCTCCTGGGTGGGAGGCATGGGCAGGGCACTATGATCTGCATTAGCCTTCATTCGTGGGTCTACCAGGAGCTGTGGAGAAGCTGCAGTCTCCTACCAGGAGACGTGAAGGAGTCTTTATTTCTAATGTTTCCTTTGACCAGGGAGGGACTCTCTGTCCTTTGTTGCTTCCACTCCATTCTCAGTCATTTTTCTCAAACCCATAGGCTTGCCAGAAGTGGGGGTTTCAGAATCTGACCCCAAGTGGGTCGGGGGTGAGCCTTGTTTGGGATCATCCGGCCCCTCCCTGAGAGAGGGGGGTCCATATAGCTGTGTCCCTGAGTCCTTCTCTCTCCCTCCCCTGAAGAGAGAGACCCCTGTGAGACAGGACCTTCCTCTTGTCTGCCAAGACGACATTGGTCTTCACCTCAAAAACACCGTGGATGATGGCTTCGTCTCCCGTGATGCCCTGGAAGGCTGCAGTGCGGTCCTGAGACCGTGTGGAGCGTTCCCTCGGCCCATCCTGGAAGACCTTTCTCCCCCGGTCTCCTTTCTTCCATCTCGGTTCTTAATATTTGTTTTCTGAGTGACTGTAAACACCATGGTCAACTATTGAACAAACACACTGGAATGCACGAATCCACATTCCACTCGGTCCATGCATAGAGCCTTTCTGAAAGCACGGAGCCCCCCCCTTACTGCATGTACCTCTCTTCCAGAATGCTGTCAGAAGCACCCCGGAAAACCAGCTACTTTCCTTCCAAATCACATCTCGTCTTTTCCTTTCTAAATCACCCTCCTTTTCCCCTAATCACCAGCATTGGCTGTTTCCCAAATTCCACGCACCCTGAGAAAGACGAAGCCAGCAGTCCTCAAACTCATTCCAGAGAAGTCGCCACAGGCAGCTGCAGGCTGGGTGGAGTGGGGGCTCTCTGAAACAGGGGGCTGTGCTTTTTTCATAATGAACCAAAACGAGACGTGCTCCCTTCAGAAAACTAAAAATCTATCTACAGACCAGAATAACTAACACTTCATAATAGCCTTACCATCTAGACATGAGATTTTTGTATAAATTCTCCCAGTTTTTACTGTGTTTCAATGAAGTTGGTATCCTGTTTGTGTTGGTGGTTCTTTTGTACATTCTATTTTTAACCTGCTTTTTTTCTTTTAAGCCTGTACCATAATCTTGTGTCCATTTCATGAAATCTTTTTTTTTATAACAGGGTTTTTAATGACTGCATAATATGCCATTGTATACCGTCCCAGGGTTTGTGTTTCTTAGGGTATTTATTTGAAGCAAAGACTCTTATCTATTTATTCTAAAACAAACAACAAGCAAAAAAAACAATTTTCTTTGTCTCAGCTATTGAAACAGAAAATACCTCTTATTTATTTCTTTGTTTTCTATTCATACAATCCCAATGCACAGGATCCATGTTTATGTGTTTTCCAATCCATTTGACAACTGCTTTGACTCTGAAACGAAACGCGGGTGTGTGGTTATTTGCCCTTGGAAGTGAGACTCTGACAGGTACATGCAGCAAGCCTGGGAGTGGACCCGTGCACTCCAGCAAAACCGCGAAGGTTCTACCACTGTCCCCCTCTGCTCCCAGACTGCACTGTTGGGGTCTCTTTTCCCCGACAAGGCTGCCCCGATTTCATGAGCTCTGCACTGCTTTAGGAGGGCACAGGCTCATGTCTCTTGATGGCCCACTGTAAGGAAACATCTCCCCGGGCAGACTGTTTGCCAGAGTGGGTCTGTTTGCAGAGTCGCTGCTTCTGGGTCTGTAGAACCTTAAAAGCTTTCTATTACTGAGAGAGTCTGAGCCTTTTTGCCTTGGGGAGAAGACCCTTTTCCTCCCTCTTTATTTTGAAACATGCTGATAGCCAATAAACAGGCATATGTCTTTGTGCTTTTCTTGCCCCATGGGCTGGGTGTTGGTGCTGAGAGCCCTTGCTGGGGGCACCAAGGGAGGCCTACAGCTCTCAGCCCTGCCGAGGTATCGCTGAGGGAGCAGGAAGAGTTGTGAACAGGCCTGGGCTGGAACGGCAGGGGTCCTTGCTCACACAGAGGATGGAGCAGATATCTGCATGAGATTCAGGCTTCCACCCCCGGAGGAGTCTGTAGCAAGTCTGCTCCAGCCCTCCCATCTAAGCTGACCAGGAAAGGGTGCTCCCGAGGCTGGACTCACTGCGGAACATCTCAGGTGCACTTGCTTCTGTTTGCACCATCTGCAGGATGCCAGATACGCCTATCCTCATGGCCCCACTTCCCTGGTTGCTGGTTTGGGTGGAGTATTTTCTTTCTTGTTGGAATGGCAGGACCATGGACCCCCACCCAAGTTCTGCATCCACTTGGGGCTGCCATTACTGCTTTCCCCAGCAAGAGCAAGGCAAGAAAGGAGGAGGGGCCAAAGGCCTGCAGACCCGAGAGCAGCATGGCACTCGTCACACCTTCCTTCCTCCTCCACTGTCCCAACCCAGAGCAACTAGAGGGCGTTGGATCATGACTTTGGAGAGCCAAGTTCTGGTCCCAGCTCTGCTGTCAATTAGCAATTTACTTGTTTGTCACGTGGGGCTAATAGTGCCCACCATGCTTGCTTTGACAACACATGGCAAGGATCCCATGAGAACCTGGGTGTGAAAGCAAGGAATGAATACTAACCGTCCTTGTCCTCCGCCTCTCCAAATCATATCAGAAAAGAATCTCGGGATATGATCAGTTGCTTGTAGTGCTTTCCAGGAGTGGGACAGTGGAGGAAGAAAGGGGAGTCAGCCCTTGGCTTTTCTCCCGGGCCTGCGAGCCAAAGGCTGATCTGTGCTAACTGTGTCCGCGCTCATTGCAGGAGTCAATCTGCCTTTTCGAAAGCCAACACTGACGTGTTCCGGGTGAGAACCAACAACGTGGGCCTCATCTACAAAATGAGGTGAGGCTCTGGCCCCTGGCCAGGGGCAGTGTGAGATGAAGGCGAGTAGATTAGGAACTTGACTTTACTATTATTGATCGTTTCTGGATGTTGATTATTCTCCTGGTGTCATTTGAGGGGTGACCAAAGACTCAACACTTTCCCTTGCACCCTGAGTCACGGTGCCCTAAACCCCCCCATTAGATATTCACTTCTTTTTTTTTTTTAAAGGTTTTTATTGGGGAATTGGGGGATGGGAACAGCGGTGGGGAATTGGGGGAAGGGGAACAGACAAGTTGCTGTCATTTTGTTCTTCAGTCTCGTTGTGGAGGACTTTGCTTCACTGGTCCAAGTTGGCACCATCATTGCGCTCTTCCCGGGCGAGGCACATCAGTCGCCGGCCTCTGGACAGCCGCTCACTGCGGCTGCTGGCCGCTCACGCTGGCTGCTGGCCGCTCACGCTGGCTGCTGGCTACACACGGTAGCCCATGGCAACCCACTGCAGCAGGAGCTGCAGCCTATGCCGTCGCTGGTGACTCACGGCAGCCCAGCTCCAGGTTGAGCTGTTGTTCAGCATCTTAGCTGTGGAGGGCAGTGTCACTGGCCCTCATATGTGGGATCCGAACCGGGGCCCTCTGGCGTCCCAAGCCAGTTCTTACCCATCGTGCCACTCGGCCGGCCCCATATTCACTTCTTTGAATTAAGACAATCGGAGACAATTTTCCACAAACTTGGAAAGATGCTCTGAGGGGCACTAGCACCGTGGTTAGGGTCAGACCGAGTTCAGACTGCTTTGGTTTAGATTTCTGCTCTGCCATTTACTAGCTGTGGGACTCTGCATAGGATTCCTCTCCAAGCCTCAGTTGTTTTCATCTGTAATAACGGTGCCTAGCTCCTAGGGCTAGGGAGGGCTCAGTGAGTTGTGCTTAGCACAGTAACTGGAACACGATAAGCACTGAGTGAGTGTCAGAGGTGACAGGGTGCTAGAGTGTGAGCAGGAAGATTACAGATGTGGCAGGATGCCTTTTGATAGAGCGTGCCCCCGATTTTGTCTTGAAGGGGCAAGGCTTGTGAAAATGCTGGGAGAGATAACCCTCTCAGCCTGGCTGCAGAGGAAGAGACTTCAATTTTCCCATTTTATCCCCCTCCCTCTGCTACCCACTCCCGTTCAAGTTCCTGCCCATTTGTCAGAACGTCAAAATCATCTGTGGTCTGACTACACCCAGACTAGGGTCTGCACAGGAGTCAAATGTGGCCTCGGTTCAGCTCTGATTTTTGTTCCTCTCACTAGAAAGTGTGGTATCATGGACTCTTTTTACTGCGGAAATAGAGCCACATGAGGCCCCGGCACTGGCTGTGTGGGGTAAAGGGGTTATGAGCAGGGAAGGGGCGCTTACAGGGAGTCAGTATGTGGGGAAAGGAGACCACTAAGCTGAAGTCCTACTATGTGCCAGGCTCTGTGTCAGATATAGGCATGCATTCTGTGTATATCATATGTGTCATTCACATGACACATATGAGGTTGCATGTGCTAGATTAAGCTGTGCTTGTCCCATTAAAGCCTGAAAGGAAAGGTCTCCCTGGGACCTTTGCTTGGTGCAAAGTGAGGTTGTCCAGGGGTCAAGTTCCGGGGAAGAAACTGACCTCGGAGAGAAACTGGGACTGCCAAGGAAGGGGGGCGCTATAGGAAGTGGGGGAAGTTATTGGGGGCCCAGTTTTGAAGAGTCTGGATCTATGCTCTGCTGTACAGCAGTCCCCCGGCCACATGTGGCTGCTGAGAACTTGAAATGTGACTAATCCACATCAAGACACGCTGTGCATATAAAAACACCAGGTTTTTAAAAAACATAGTACAAGGAAAAGAATGTAAAATATCTCAATAAATGTTTACATGGTTACAGGGTGAAATGATACATGGATTGCATAGAATATATTATAAAATTAATTTCACCAGTTTCTTGGTTTGTTTTTTTTTTCAATGTGGCTACTGTAAGATATACAATTACACATGTGGCTGTCAGATGCAGCTCATGTGGTATTTCTATGGGACCATACCAGTCAAGATGGCTGTGGGAGAACCCCCTGGGTAATGGGACCAAGGAGAGTATCTGGGGTTCTGGGGAGGAGTCAGGGAGACAGGGGAGCTCGAGATGGTCCTGTTGCAAGCCTTGGCAATCCCGGATTTTCTACGGAAGGCAATATTTCCTTGCAGGCAATGTAACAATGTAACATTCATCAATAAGCACATCATTAATAAGATATCCCCATTTCATAGACGAGGAAACTGAGGTTTGAGAGGTAAATAACGACAACAAAATGACTGAACCTCTCTTTGGAGTAAACATTTGGATCTTCCTGCATGGAAAGGGCATTGTCTCCGTCTGCCAGTGACAGTATGGGTGTTTGCTTCTGCCCCAGGATCGAACATGACAACACGGGCTCGAGTCCCAGCTGGCACCTAGACCGTGTGATTCTGACCGACCTAAAACGGCCTCACCTCTGTTACTACTTCAACTGCCGCAGCTGGCTGAGCAAGGTGGAAGGTGACCGCCAGTGGTGCCGTGACCTGTTGGCCAGCTTCAGTCCCATGAATGTGCCCCGAGGTCAGTGCCAGCGTGGCCTACCCGCTGCCCTTCCCTACCTGGGCTGGGCTCACTCAGGCCTCTGTCTTGCTCTGGGCAGTCCCATTTCCCCTTGCCATCCTCCAGGGTTGTCCTGTTGGCTAGGACCCAGGTGAAGCCCATTTCTTCCTTGTGGCCTTCCCAGGAGCAAGCTTATGTGCTCTAGGGGATCAAGGAAGTGGGAAATACAAGAGGACCTAGAGGCATGATGGAGGGACGGAAGCAGCCCTGAGCACATCCAGTGTTTTCAACAACTCTTGTTGATGGGTATCTAACCGAGAGTCCCTCTGAGTTCAAAGGTAGCTTTCCCTGCCTTCCTTCTGATGCCCAAGGAAGGTGAGTTCTAGCTAGGGCATGGTGGATGGGAATCAGAGCTCAGTGCTTCCAACATTCCATCATGCTGTCCCTGACTCCTGATTTAATGAGTGAAACAACTTATTTCAAGTACATCTCTGACCAAAGGCCTTAAAGGGAGTCATTTTAGCTCAGCAGGAGGCAGGGGAACAAGGCATGTAAAAACACACACTGTGTCCTATGTTCTATTTTATCACACCTTTGTCCCCTAAAGTTATGACCTCACCTCACCCCATTATTGAACACATTTGCTTTTCCAAAAAGGGGGATGTCATCGTGATACCCTGCTCACATAGAGTCACGGGCTGTTGGACAAAAAAGGCAGTTGGCAGCCGGGAGAAGTGACTTTCCCATGGTCACCCAGTAGAAAAACATGCTGGATTCTGCCTCCCAGCACGTATTTTTGGTCTCCAAGTTCCAATGTCTATTTCAACCCAGCTGAGCAGAAACAAACACACCCTATGTCTCCGTGGGTTTCGGCGCTTAATTCCTCTGTCTGCCTCTGATCTCCCACCTCTGACCTTGAACATTGGCCTTGTTCCTCTCTGATCCCCATTGTAATAACTTGCAACTTCATTGATTCTTTTTTTAAAAGATATGTTATTGATCTTTCCTCTTATTACAAAAGCCAATTTGACCATTACAGAAATTTTAGAAACTAGAGACACACAAACATAAAAAGAGAATATGTACTTGTAATTCCATCTCCTGGAAAAACATCACTGCTGACATGTTTATGCAATCATTTCCAGGCTTTTCTATGCATATATCATTTGAAAGAATGGGCTGTGAAGAGGAAAATGTCCAAAAAATCACCATTGGGAGACAATGAATGTAACTCAGTGGTTTTCCAACCTCCCGCAAGAATCATCCAGGACAGTGTTTTCTTGATTCTTAAAGGGAAGACAAAGACGCCCTCTTACCCCATCCCTGAGCCAGGCTTCCTGGGCCCCCAACCCCTTTAAATAGGGTAGTGGGCACTGTAGTTTTAGTATTTCCAGGCTACACTCTACAAGGAATGAAACACAGGATCTTCAAATATTCAAATGACTGCATTGGTGAACAAAAGGTTAAGTTTCTTTGCTTTTCACCTGTAATTATCAAACTTGATTTTTGATTGCTACCGGAGGTCTTTGGTGATCAAAACGGGGAAGATAATTATTTCTTCATCCATGCAGTTGAATAGGTAAAGTTATTTCAAAACATGGGATGTGGGTAATAACAGAAGGAGGAGAGAGGAAAGGGAACATGTTCAATGTATATTGCACCCCCCTCACAACCCACCAAGGGAGGACGGGTCCTTAGATGGCCTTGTTCCCTCTCCCAACATCTGAGAGCCATCTCCTGAAGTTCTGGCTGGTAATCATCTGGAACCTTCTTTCATTTCCTGTTCCTCAGGGAAGGAAGGTGATCTAGGCTGACCAACTGACCCTTTACCGATGTGATCAGCAGATAGCGGCGGGAGTGGAGGGGACTGGACATTGATCAGGTTTCTAGATGGCTCCTGTAAATGGGGATCTTGCATATCCTGCTTAAAAGCACAGGCATGAGGGGAGTTTGTCCAACCTGTGGTGCAGGTGACTGCTGCTCTGGACAAGAACATCACCCTTGGTCATGGCATTGTGCCTCATCTGCCATAGAGATGAGCTATTCCTCTCTAGGCTTCTCTTTACATGCACCTTTTAGGGGAGGCACCTAACACATTCCTGGCACTTTGGGGGTCAATAACCTGGTCAGGGACCCCTTTTCCTGGAGCCCACTGGGGAGAAGGTAAACATGAAGAGTTGACAAAAGAAGGAGGCAGAAGCTGATTAACACCCAGTTGTGTGGACGGAGGATCCCAGAACCAAGTTCAATTTCTTAGTTGTTCTCAATTGGCTGGTAAAGTCGCTGCATGTGGCACCTTATGGAAACCAGGCAGTAGGACCAACCCAAATGCTTTGCCCCTTGGTCTTCTCTGGGTCTGATTGCCAGGCCTTGGGGATCTGTTGTGGGGCCTGGGAGCCAGGTTGGTGTATTCCCTCAGTCCATCAGGGGGCTCCAAACTCACAGTTCACCTTCAAGATTTTTGCCTTATTCAAGTACCACTTCCCTTATTATTTACTTCTTTAGCTCACTTTTGGCAACTTGCATTAACTTGTAAATTTATTTTAAAAAGAATATTGATATTACTATAATAAAAAATGGTTATCGCTTGCTACACGTATCAGGCTTACATTAGTATATATTGAAGTGAAGACACAACTCCAGATAACCCTCCTGTATCACAACTAGCATCCGGCGTACCACCAAGGGTGTGCAAACTGCACCCTGGGAAACACGGCCTGCCCTGATCTGGGAGGAAGGGAAAGTCAGCAGGGAGGGAAGGGGGGCTGGGAAGATGTCTGGGCTCTCCTCTCCACAAGCCCTTGTCTCACTTACCACACCTCTGCGGGTGAGGCGGTGAGGAAAAGCGGGCAGGTGTTAATTACACAGATGAGAAAACTGAGGTCCACGGAGATGGTGACTCATCCAGGATCAAACAGCCAGTCACTGATGGAGCTGGGACTAGACTGTGAGTCTCCTAATGCTTGGGGGAATGTGCTTTTTGCCTGCCCCTTAGGCAGGGCAACTCCAAGGACAGTCTGGCACGTGAGAGATCAGAGCCTGGGAAATCAGGTCTGGGGCTCATGGAGTTCAGTGGGACCCATCTCTTACTATCACGGGAATCCCTTCCGTAGCATCCCCGCCAGTGGCCTCTCCAGCCCTGGTTTGAGTGGTGGATAGTCACAACCTCCCAGCATAACCCATGCCACTGCTAAGTGGCACTCGTTGTCAGAAAGATCTGCCTGAATAGAAACCCTACCCCGTCTCTGCAAGAGTCCTGCTTCTCTGTTCTGGTCCTCCCCACACAACACCGTGTGTGTGTGTTTCCATGTCAGCCCTTCAGTTGTGTGAAGACGGGCTTCTCTGCTCTCAGTGGTTCCTCAGCCTCACCTTTTGTAGCATACATCCAGCCTGCCTCCTGAGTAGTTCCGGTTTGTCAATGACCCTCAAGAACATACCTCCTAGGCTAGGACATATCTCCCAGTCCCTGTGATCCAGATGGAGCTCATCAAAGAGAGTGCAAGGGTCTGCCTGACTCCATCGTCCTGCTTCTTTATTATTATTATTATTATTATTATTATTATTATTATTATAAAATATATATAGCATTACATTTACCATCTTAACATTCTTAAGCATACAATTCAGTGGCACTAAGTAAATTCACATTGTTGTGCAATGATCGCCACCATCCATCTCCAGAACTTTTTCATCTTCTCTAATTGAAACTCGGTACCTATTAAACAATAACTTCATAGTCCTGTTCCCCCACCCCCAGCCCCTGGGAACCTTTATTCTTCTTTATGTGTCTTTGAATTTGACTACTTAAGAATCTCGCATAAATGGAATCATACAGTGTTTATCATTTTGTGACTGACTTATTCACTTAGCATAATGTCTTCAGGGTTCAACCCTGTTGTAGTATGTCTCAGAATTTCATTTCTTTGTAAGGCTGAATACTATTCCATTGTATGTACCTACC